ATACTATAAATACTAATAAAACAAACGGGGCGGGGCACTTTGAGAGGGGTGAGAGAGGTCCTAAGGAGTTTTGGTATAAAATTAAATTGCATAAGCTCAAAATCTTCTTGAAATATCGCCCGGAAATGATAGTGTTACACACTGACAGAATGTATAAATTTACGACCTTGAACTTTGACTTTTTGACCTCAAAATCAATAGGGATCTTCATTAGGCCACAGGGAGTTATGTAAAATTTCATTGCAATAGCTTAAATGGTTCTAGAGATATCATCTGGAAACGAAAGTGTTATAACAGACAGAATTTGCTTATTTATGACCTTGACCTTTGACCTCAAAATCAATAGGGTTCCTCTTTAGTCCATAGGGAGTTGCTATGCTAAATTTCATTGCAAAAGCTCAGAGTGTTCTCGAGATATCGTGTGGAAACGAAAGCGTTACAGACAGACAGAAAGACGGACGGACGGACGGACGGACAAACCCAAATTAATATCCCCCACTTTTCAAGCGGGGGGCAAAAATCTCGTTTGGTGCTTCGAACAAAAGTTAGTGTCATTTTTAAGAGCAATGTTTCAAACGTACGTACAGCTAAAATATTGGCCTGTTTGACAAATCTATTAATTAGAGATATTTTGAATTCTTCCCCATATCACGTGTATTTTTAAAATCCTGCAATCAAAATTTGCTTTAAAAAGATTGTTCGGTATCTCTCAGTCAGTAAACAAGATGTATTTATTTGTGAAACACTGATGCCCCCGTATGGCAACATATCAAAGATTAAACTTTTCTTTGATGCAAATTTGATATACTGGTACCAAAAGTAGGGTATTCTCATTGGAAATACAATTGTGAAATATGAAATATGGCCAAGGTTAAAGTTTTAGCATAAGTACGGAAATCTTCAAGGTCCAGGTCATTGGTATCCAATGAAAGGTCTTGCCACAAAAAATACATGAATTATGTAAAGTAGGGAAGCCCTAGCCCTAACCGTTCAGAAGTTACGGCCAAGGTTAAAATTTTAAAGAGTAGGTCAGACTCCAAGGTCAAAGGTCTTGCTATCAAATGAACGCTAAAAAGTAATGGTCAAGGATTGCTTTTTAAAAGTAGGTCAAACGTTGAGGTCAAAGGGTCAAAGTTCTTGGTAATGAATGATCTTCTCACAAGGATTGCATAAGTATGAGATCACTAGCCCTTAGCATTTAAAAGGTATGGCCAAGGTTCAAGTTTTTTCATTAGTTCAAAAGTCTCCACGGTCAGGGTCAAAAGGTCAAGGAGGACTTACCACAAAGAATATATATGCAAAGTATGAAAGCCCTAGCCCTAACCGTTCAGAAGTTATGGCCGAGGTTAAAAAATTTTAAAAGTAGGTCAACCTCGAAGGTCAAGGGGTCAAAGGTCTGGCTATCAAATGAAATGTCTTGTCACAAGGATTAAATATTTAAAGAATGAAAGCACTAGCCCTAACGCTTTAAAAGTTATGGTCAAGGTTTGCTTTTTAAAAGTAGGTCAAACTCCAAGGTCAAAAGATCAAGTTTCTTGGTATCCAACAAAACGTCTTCTCACACGGATTAATGAAGAATGAAAGCCCTATCCCTTACCGTTCAAATGTTATGGCCAAGATTAAAGTTTTTTCACAAGTACGGAAATCTCCAAGGTCAAGGTCAAAAGTTCAAGGTTGTTGGTATCTAGTGAAAGAATACATATGTAAAGTACAAGTGTTCTGGTTTCTACTGTTCAAAAGATATGGTCAAAGTAAAAGTTTGGAATATTTGTGTAAAAGTGGGGCCAAACTCTAAGGTCAAGGTCAAATTCGGTGGTGCCCAAAGAAAGGTCTTATCATAAGGGATACACATGTAACATATGAAAATCATAGCTCCACTAAATCAAAAGTTATGGGCAAGGTGGAAGTTTTTGCGGACAAACAGACAGACAGACAGACGGACGGACACCACAAAAATATATATACCGGCATAAAAAGCCTTTGTTTTGTCGCTTTTCTTCAAATTCGACAACGAACGACTATCAGAGGGTTAAAAATTAAAATATTTTGTATCTCCCTCGATAAATCCAAAATTTTATACCATGACACTTCCAACAAGCTAATTCAGAGAATTCGTGTCCCCCGCTTAGGGAAAAAGTCGGCTCCCCCTGACTGAATTTGTAGAATTATTAAATGTATACATGTATACTGAAGGAAATAAAATACATGTATGTCAATATGCATATAAAGATTTGATTGCTTATTCTTTATTATGTGTATAGATTTTTTTATACGGAATATTTATCACACTGTAATGATGATTTTATAACCTCATAAATTTTTCATTTCACATGCTGAATACTATCATTTAGTAAAAAAAAAAAAAAAAAAAAAGGTATTTCAAAAAAAAAAAAAAAAAAAAAGAAAGGAAGGATCGACCGAGAATCGATCCCGGGACCTCTCACATTCGAAGCTAGAGACATAACCACCACACCACGGTGTCGCTTTACTGAGTGTGAAGTATATGCAGAACTGAAGTCACATACATGTATATATACATGTTTTCATGTTCGGTATTCTCAAAATTTTACACAATCCATGGTGTTTGATTTATTTAGCCTTTATTAAACAGTTCTAATAGATGTAATAAGAACATAAAGTCCGCTGAGAACCTGTTTTATACGCAATAACTCTCCTCATGCCCCTGCGCTAAAAATAGCGACAAGTAATACTATAAATACTAATAAAACAAACGGGGCGGGGCACTTTGAGAGGGGCGAGAGACGTCCTAGGGAGTTTTGGTATAAAATTACATTGCATAAGCTCAAAATCTTCTTGAAATATCGCCCGGAAATGATAGTGTTACACACAGACAGAATGTATAAATTTACGACCTTGAACTTTGACCTTTTGACCTCAAAATCAATAGGGGTCTTCATTAGGCCACAGGGAGTTGTTATGTAAAATTTCATTGCAATAGCTCAAATGGTTCTAGAGATATCGTGTGGAAACGAAAGTGTTTTAACAGACAGAATTTGCTTATTTATGACCTTGACCTTTGACCTTTTGACCTCAAAATCAATAGGGGTCTTCTTTAGTGCATAGGGAGTTGCTATGCTAAATTTCATTGCAAAAGCTCAAAGGGTTCTCGAGATATCGTGTGAAAACGAAAGCGTTACAGACAGACAGAAAGATGGACGGACGGACGGACGGACAAACCCAAATTAATACCCCCACTTTTCAAGCGGGGGACAAAAATCATCGATCTCTAAATCAACTGCCCAAACTCAAGAAGGTGAACCTTTGGTATTGTGTTTGATTTTCATTTAAAATTGTTGTTGTTCATTTAAGAAACTTGCTTCAAGGAACCTCGCTGTTGTTTATAAGTACATGTAAAGCTTCAGGGTTGGTTGTCTTTAATTACTGGCTTCTACTTTATATGCTCCTTGGCTGAAGCTTTATAGCCACGTTAATAACATGCATCACTCATGTAAATGTTTGTCTTGTATGCATGTGGCTGTCATAAACACATGCCGTTTTGCCGGGTCATACCCTGTCTATAACTGTTTATATGTATGATTAATTGTTTTACTGTTTTACTGGATTTAAAATGATCACCTTAAACTCAAGTGAATCGTAAGATATAAAATTAACATGTTGTTTTTGATATCAAAATATTTGTCATAATCTTAACCAAAGACCGTTCTCGACGTTATACGTCTACAAGCATGGTCACTGCAAAATGGTGCAGAAAGGAATAGGACTTAGGTGAACTTGTTTGTTATCCCCTCGCAACAAATGCAATAGTGTGTTCTTTTGTGAGCGAGTTAGCACTGTAAGAAGCGGAAGTGACGTAATTTGCATTGAGATCGTTATGCGAGGGAATGTTCCGCCTTGCGGTGTCCTTGTTTAACGTTTGAAGCGACTTGTGCATCCAAGAAGTTTTGGTTATGATACATTGATACCAATATTTTACGATCATTTACCTTGGAGTTCTTCCTTTGTTCTCTCTTCGTGTCATTGTATATTATCCATTTGCAATAGAGAACTCGTACGTCATATCATTCCAGTATTCTCATTAATATTTCCGGGGAAAACAGTGAATATCAATCATCAGAGACTCTTCAAATGCTAATCACTCATCATATCGCTTGACTTGTACAGAAAGCTTGAAAAATGTATGTGTTGACGGCAAAAAGAGCATAAATGTTTCTATCTTGGAAATGTTCATCATTCTGAATATTATAAATATTATTAATAAGTAATGTGTATCGCTCATCAGTGTGCCACTAGTATCTGGGCACGAAATTTCAAATATGCAAAGTGTTAAAATGAATTTTGGTATGATTTATATTGTTGCCGGTGGAGAGCTGCAAATTTTGTACTATACTCGGCGATTGAGCTGGGAGGGATCTTTTTCGTGCCAGCACCTACTGCGACACGGGACATCGGTTTATACGGTCCTATCAGAAGACCCGGCGTCTCCATGTTCCACAGTTGGATTCGAACCCGCAAAGTAAGGATCAACACCTACTTCGCGACTCTAGAGCAGCCAGACGCTCTAACCACCTTGACTTGTAATGTACTGTATTTTAACTAACTGTTTTGGACTTCGATTGAATCCCATGACCATACATGTTTCATGGTTCTCTCTTCCTTTCTGCCAGGTAACAACAGACTTTCACATTGCAGTTTAAAATCTTATATCAATTTATGAAGCTTAAGGTAATTTCATATAATTATGTTAATGTTTAGGTCAAGGTAAAATACTGGTACAAGTATATCAATGCCTGGGAGCTTGGAATGCAAGATCAATTTTTTTTTTAATATAGATAACTAGAACAATATAAGTTTAGATGCACTAAATAGCCCAGTGTGCAATTAGTTAAACTCCATTGTCGAAAAACCACAAACTGGTTGTAAAAAAGTTCACTCCTCTTCAGTTGCAATATCTTCAACCACTTGTACACATGAACTTGTACGTCTAGCAGTGTAACTGTGATTACATAGTAATAGTTATTTATATTCACAACTTTTCCACTAGTAATAATAAATCCCGTAATGTGAAATGCCTTTCCGCAGCTTGTTCTTGTTGCTTTACCCACTAGAGAAAACATGAGAAATGAGTTGAGTGAAAACATGTCATTTATTAACTAGATAAATGACGCAAGTGAACAAAAGCACATAAATATACAATATTACATATAATCTTATAAATTATAGCTGGGATAAGGACAAATAATGAATAGTTTCAACTTAGATATAATATATTGCGACTTATTGCTTATCCCAGCTATTGTTATATAATGATGACCAAGTTTGTGTAACAAGAAGGTGGCGTAAAACAAGAGGCCACAAGGCATGTTATATGCTAATTTTTGTACAATAAAGAAAAATCTATATCACAAAAATTGAAACAATTAGAATTTTCTATTTCAAATGTTGTTAATAATTGGGAGGAGGAGGGGAGGTGGCGGAAATTTAATCACAACCTCGTGTTTCCACAGTCAAATATAATGGCCGATCACGCTGAACCCGATCTTAACAGGAGTTCGATCCCGATGTCAAAACAATAAGTCGAGAACAACTGTAATTTCATCTTTGTCAAACAATGTAAAAAAGATTGCATATAAAATATTTTATGGAACATAAAATTTTATTTATATTCACAACTTTTCCACTAGTAATAATAAATCCCGTAATGTGAAATGCCTTTCCGCAGCTTGTTCTTGTTGCTTTACCCACTGGAGAAAACATGAGAAATGAGTTGAGTGAAAACATGTCATTTATTAACTAGATAAATGACGCAAGTGAACAAAAGCACATAAATATACAATATTACATATAATCTTATAAATTATAGCTGGGATAAGGACAAATAATGAATAGTTTCAACTTAGATATAATATATTGCGACTTATTGCTTATCCCAGCTATTGTTATATAATGATGACCAAGTTTGTGTAACAAGAAGGTGGCGTAAAACAAGAGGCCACACAGCATGCCTAATGCTTGCATGAGGCATGCCGCGCCACCCAAGGAAAGGGCATTTCATAATTTTGTTATAGATTGAAAAAACATGTACCTGCATGGACTTACTTAACCCAAGCATAAGACCATATTTAATCATAATCATAAAGTTATATCTATAAGAGTAACATATTTAAAAGCAAAGTTTGCCAATTATATGAATGAAACAAAGTTAAATTAGAAAAAGAAGGAGCAACTGCTGCCTCGTGAACAATATTTAAAAACAAAACTCAGTCTCATGACTGATTTTTACAATCATTTTTACAACCAGGCTGACTTTATGTATAAGTTTCAAACAAAAACCTTGCTAAGCTCCAACTACCATGTACAGTTTTTATAACCAACCATATGCTTATCTCATACACAAATTTATGCAAAAAACTTCTGCTGAGCTTGTAATTTTACTATAAATACATGCTGATCTCCAAATACAAGTCTCACGTACCCGTTCGAGGCTGAAATACCAGTTCACTTTATACAGTTTCTTTGTAGGCAATCGTACGCTGTCTCCATGTATATTAGCTCGCAATTTCGCTGACTTCACGCACAGTCTCAACACCCAATTTAAGGCTGAATTACAATTTCCATAAGCTATATGAGCAACCGTATGCTGACCTCCTGTAGATAGCTTGTACTTTGGGGGCAAAATTGGGGGGTAAATTGTGATCTCGTAAATGAGCTAACACTTTTCAAAATAATACCTGCCAAATTTCTAACCGAATTACTGTTTTATATAGGCAACCATATGCTGACCTTAGTAATTCCAAATTTTAAAATTTTGTAATCTGTCTGAGCAACCATAGTCTGACCTCGTAAATAATTTATATGCTTAATTTTGGACTTGACGCTAAAAATTTTTAATCAGATCCTATTTACGTTCTGAAGAGAAAAAACCACATGCTAACTTCTCTTTTGATAGTCGGTGGCAGTACCTGTATGAGGGGATCATTTAGTTTGAAATTCTCATAAAGGGTTGAAATTTAGAACTTGAAAGCATTTATTCTAATGTAACGTCTGCTTGCATTTGAGTGCCAACGACCCAGTTGTTGAATTACATTTCCAGATAAACCGTTCTTAGCTGCCTCTGTGGCAGCACCAATGCGAAAACTATGACCGAGGTAAAGTGATGAATTCAAACCAATAAAATTTATGGCATGTTTCAAATGAGATGTCACAAAGTTGTGCGGAACTGGTTCGCCAGATTTAAATGTGAATAAAGGACCTGATGTGTGTTTATGTTCAGCAATGTATGCTTTTAAGGCATGAACTGGACAGAATTGACATTTTAAATTATTAGCTGTCAGAGTAATTATTAATGGCTGCCTATCATTCATGGTTTTTGAATACCTGAGTGTGATCTGAACTGAATTATCGTCATTGAACATTATGTCTTGTCTTTGAATTACTTTTGAGTTAAATGTTTTGTTTCTAGGAACGAGTTCACCTAACCGCATAAAGGCATGAAAGGCAAGAAGGAAAATTGCTGACAGCAGAGTTCTTGAGTCTGCTTCTTGAACAGTGTGATCTAAGGCAGATAATAATTTGATAAGAATGGGTTTTGTAATTGGAAGTCTAGTGTCAACAGTTCTTGCTAGGTTTTGGGCTCCTTTGATAACTTTTCTCACTATAAAAGAGTGGGTAGGGTCATGAAAGTCAAAAATCTTATGAACGAAACTAATTGCCGAAACATGTGAAGTGATGGTGGATGGGCTTAAACCCTCAGTGAATAATTCACCAATAAAATTGCAAATAATTCCTTCTGCAAATGGGAGAGAAAAGGGTATACTATGAGTGTCACAAAATTTCTTTAACAAATTCCAACTTCGAAGGTATAACTGCTTAGACGATAAAGACAGTGATGCCTGAAGTAACTGCTGACTTGGTTGGCTTATATGTAAATCAAATGTTCTGGTACTGCTGTTGGCTTGAGGTCCAACCAAGGGGCAAATTTCTTGGCTTCCTGGAATTTAAAGCGGGAAAGGTAATCTGCAAGTACATTGTGTTTCCCTGGAATGTGTTTTGCTTTAAATAGTATGTTATATTTCATTGCTGCAACAACTAATCGGCGTACAAGTTTCATCAATATTTTGTCTCTGCATGACTGTTTATTAATAACCTCAACAACTGCTATATTATCAGTGAAAAAGAGAATTTTTTGATCGCTTAAATAAGGTCCCCAAATTTCTACCAACAGAACGATAGGAAACAGCTCTTTAACAGAAATGTGATAATCTGTATGAATATCTAGCCAAGATTGTGCAAACCATTTTGAACCATATACAGCTGCATAACCCAAGGCACCAGATGCATCTGTATATATATGTAACTTCTGTGAAGACAACCACTCATCCTGATGAAATATTGACTTGCCGTTGAAATGATTGATAAAAAGTTGCCATGCTTTAATGTCCGCACGTTCGTCAGTAGTTAACTTTATATAATGATTTGGTTTGGACACACGACGAGTCAGATCTATTAACCGTCTCAAAAATGCACGACCAGGTGTGACTACTTGACAGGCAAAACTGAGAACACCTATCAAAGACTGCAACTCTCTTAACTGAATTTTTTTTTCTATGGACTGTCTTTTCCAACAATTGTCTCATATTAGTGAGTTTGTCTTCTGGGAGTCTACTTTGCATGAGAACAGAATCTACCTCAATTCCATAAATGGTTAAACAAGTTGTTGGTAATACAGTTTTGGATTCTTTAAGAGGGACTCCTACTCTCGAACATAAACTTTCAAAATTTCTAACATCAGAGAGACATTTTTGAGATAAAGCTGGTCCAATGAAGAAAAAATCATCAATAAGATGAGACATACCAGAGGCCTGATATTTATTTAACATAATCCATTGCAAAGCTGTGCTTAACCTCTCGAACAACTGACACGATGAACTGGCGCCCATTGGTAAACATTTATCATAATAATATTGATTGTTCCAAAGAAAACCTAAAAAATGATAGTCTGAAGGGTGTATTGGGATGTTTCTAAACCCATCTTCTATGTCTAACTTAGCCATAAGTGCCCCTTTCCCAAATTTCTTAATTAGCTGTATTACATTTTCAATAGAATCATAATGCACAACCGCATTTTCTCGCGAAATGTGTTCATTTACTGAATTACCCTCTGGAAAGGATAGATCGTGTATGATTCTAAATTCTCCGGGTAGCTTCTTAGGCACCAGCCCTAATGGCGAACAAATGAAATTTTCAAAGGGTTTAAGTACATGAGGACCTGAAATACGATTGAGCCCCAATTCCTTATTCAACTTATTGTTAACTACCAATGGACTTCTCCTAACAGATGAGTGATTGCTCTTAACAGAGGTTGGCAGAAATTCACTGCAGCCCAGTTTAAAACCAAATTTAAATCCATCAACAAGAAAATCAAGTAAGACCCTGTCATAACCTTGCAATTCCTGACAAAGAACTTCATGTTTTATTGTTGTTGGTATTGTTTGGTTTCCTGATAGGATTGTTTCGGACCCATTTGTTACATTTCTTTTTGGGATGCTGCTCGCCGCAGTGTTGGCAGATGTGCATGTATTTACATGGTGAGGTTTTACAAGGTTTACCGTTGTTGTAGCTGAAGCAGGCCAACTCCCACTGTTTTGTTTTTGACTGATTGAAAAGGTACTGGGAGGAGCGAAATGAACGAGTTAAAGTGCAAGCTTTCACCATGTATTCAGTAATGGGAAGTTGCCAAGGTATCTTATTTGATTGTCGGAGTTTCCGAAAGTTTTCATCGTAGTATCTCCAGGCCCCATCCCCATTAGAACTCCCAATTTCCCTAACAGTGAAACAGTATTTTAGTAGATTGGCATGTTCTTGGGGAGACTTCTCGGTGTAAATTGACATGAATATCAAAAATGCTGATGTCCACTGATGAAGTGACATCACTGACTGTTTTGTTGACTGAGGATTTAATTGAATAGCATTATTTTCTATCTGAATTGATATGTTTTGGTCTTTGTAATTTGGAAGTAGACATTTGAGGTCAATGAATTGATCATTCCAGATTTTATTTTTTATGCGAACTGGAACGTTAGCACCCAAAGGAATACCATTGTCAACTGATAATGGGGTAGAATATGTGCTGTTGCCATTTAATGTATCTGCCACTGACTCACCTGAACCTGAAAATAACTGTTGCAGGGTGTTTACCAAATTTAGACTACTTGGATCGCTAGAAGAGGTACTTGATGCAGAGGGTACAGCCTGTGAAGTAGAGGGAGTATCCTGAGAAACGATATTATTTGAGGAAGCACTGCTTGGTGTCAAAGCCTGTTGTTGTCTAAGAATTGCTGCTGCAAGCTGGTCATAGTCAATTGGAGGGTTGTTGGTGCAGCTCGCTTGAGTAGCTGATGAACTGGCATCAACTGCGTTGCCCAATGCCGAGTCTACAGGGGGTGCCTGAGCTGGTTGGCTGCGTAGTTTCATCCTCTTTTTTGGTGGCATATTTTCTACAATAAGTCTGAGCAGTTGTAATTGCCATAGGTGTTAATATAATCATGATCAAAGTATTAATAATGTTAGCCATTCAGCTATAAGCACATGTTATGCACCAACATGTTACATATTTTCCATCTTTGTCATTTGTAAATAAATTGTTCATAAGGCATTTGAGCCAATCATATCACATAATAATTGTCAGCTTGAAAACAGGTCAGTATCCTGGTCAAATCAAAATTCATCATAAGTTGCAGCTCATAAAAAGGAAAAACAAAAACAAAAAACCTGTGCTCATTCCACTAACAATAGAAATGCACTAGAAAAAACAAACCTAGCTGCATTTAACATCATAGTGACAATGACAGCCAACTCTCTTATGTTATAAATAAATAAATTCCTCCCGACCTTCATTATATATCGGGAAGGTAAAGAAAATTAAGCTGTCACCGTCATATGCATAAAAAACATTGGAAGGCAACCACTTTATAAATAAATAAACAGATCTTCCCAACCTTCATTAGCTATTGGGATGATTAAGAAAAACAAACTCCTTTTTTTAAATAAACAAAAGATCTTCCCAACCTTCATCAGATATTGGGAGGATTAAGAAAAACAAACTGGAGCCTTCATAAACATATGGTGGAATCATTGACGATTCCCAAGGAATCACTGAAGATTCCCCAATTCTGACCGATACTGACACTGACCGCATGACAATAAATCAGGCGACATAATGTGCAGAAACAAGTCGAGGTTTACATTGAAATTAAATAAGCATTCAAGCAATTGCCAATATCATATTTATATATTGAAAAATATAGCAGAAACATATTGCAAAATTTCCATCACATGCACAGTCATTTATCAACATATGTGCATGTTTTACTTATCCTTATTCTCCCACCCTGGCAGATGGGAGGCATAGAGGACAGCACTCTTAATGCTCTGGAGGTATTTCCTCATGACCCGGTGATCGTGACTGCTGTCTTTGAGGTGGACCCCATCGCTGGCCAAGAATTTCATTTCTGGATCCCAGAAGCCGTGATGGTGCCAGAACAAAATGTTGCTGGTAGATCGGTGGCACTGATCATGCAGGAGTTTATTAGTGTCAATCACTTTAAAATTATAGTGGTCCCCTACTTTGGATGGATGTCTGCGTAATAACTGTCCAATTATTACAAAGGAAAATTTGTTAGTTAACAGTAAGAATTGCGCTAACGACATAATATTCCGAGCGACCTCGTTTGGTGTTGCTTGTGGATTTGACAAATCATTCCCGCCAATTTGCATAAAACAAATGGCGCCCTCAATATGTATGCCCTGAAAGTCCAGCAATTCTCGAGAGTTGGCTAGATCTTGTGTCTTGAGGCCGCCCCTGGCTCTAATTAACACTTTAAATTTATCTTTATATAGTCGTAAGTTATCAAAATCTGGTTCATTCTGCATCAAAATTCCGAGTCTCCTGATGAAGGAATGACCTATCACCACCACTGTGCGCGGTTTTGGATCATCAGTACTTGCCGCCTCCATGCCGACTTATACATTCAGACAATGAATCAAAGGTTCAAATAATTACGCACCTTAGATAGTGTCACAGCAAAATATAAGTGTATATTAAATCGATGAAATCGATATCCTTGTGTTTCTGCTGTTTAAAAATTTAATCACAACCTCGTGTTTCCACAGTCAAATATAATGGCCGATCACGCTGAACCCGATCTTAACAGGAGTTCGATCCCGATGTCAAAACAATAAGTCTAGAACAACTGTAATTTCATCTTTGTCAAACAATGTAAAAAAGATTGCATATAAAATATTTTATGGAACATAAAATTTTATTTATTGTACACCTATTGCTTTTAGTTAAATGTTGAAACACCCATTAATTATAGATTTCAAGGCATGATTCCTTATTGTTGCTCTCCTTTGACCTTTGATGCTGACCTTTTCCTGCTGACATGTAGCTTTCTAATTCTTAGAAAAATGTACTTTATCAATCATTAATGGTTAACAAAATAAATTAATGACGGTATTGGATTACAGAAACATATCCATTTGCCATGTACATGTAAACGAATCCATTTTTGTGGACGAATAGCCAAAATCATTCTCAAATTTATCTTCACACACTAAGTTATAAAGGTTTCAATAGAGTGTTTATCGAGCTATTTTAGCAGACATGTACAGTTTGTACATAAATACAATAAATGTAGGAAAATATTGATATTCGAGACATATGGTTTCTACATATACGATTGATTCATTCTTCCCTTAATATTCATGGAAACAATTCAGCTTGTCAGTGAGATCCGTCTGTTTATTACAAAATTGATTAGGAAACAATATTATTATTTCTGAAAATGAATATCAGTTCATCATTTTTACACGGACAGTTTTAATCCATATAAGCAGATGTTTTTTTTTAAATAAATGTATACATCTACATGTTAGAACGAATATCTCTCTTTCTATATACGTATATATATATATATATATATATATATATATATATATATATATATATATATATATATATTACTCTCTCTCTCTCTCTCTCTCTCTCTCTCTCTCTCTCTATATATATATATATATACATGTATACGAAAGTTCACACATTCTCCCATATCTCGAAATTGTCAACATGAAACAGAACGCCATTACAAAGCATGCCAACGTTCGCAAAAAACGGCTGAAAACTGTAATCAACATGCGCATTTCCTTATCTACCTTTTCCCGTTCCTTGCTGAGTCTAAGGTCTTTTCTGATCCTGCCCCTTTCGTGTCTCCGTCGTCCCCTGCGTATGCTGAGCCCACGTCTGAGTTGGTTTTCCTGACGAATGAGTCTTGGCAGAATACTGACAGCGAACAATCCCCCAGAAGAGCTGCACTCTCAGCTTACTTTTTGTAGCCTGGGTAAACAGAGCCTGTATCAGCTTGGACTTCAGACTGATCCTTGTAAATTGATCTTGTGTCAACTAAATGAAGAGACGTTTTGGTAACAGATGTACCAGACTGTAAAACAGTACGGGATTTAAGGACAGAGATACATACAGAGGAGAGGATGATAATATCTATGCTTATAATCCGTTTAATTTTCCTACAATTCTCGGGTGTTGAACGGTTATTATTATTTTTTTTTTTTGAAATTGGATTATATCATTTGTCGGTAAGTACCCTCAATAAAAGAATTTACCTTTTTTTCCCTGTTGGATTGATTACATATATGCTATGACTGAGCGCTTGAAAACAAAGATGACCTTTGCTACTATTGCTCGGCGAAACTAATATTAGTTTCTTAGTAATTGATTTCTCTCAATTTGTATTAACATCTTCCAAAAATATTTAATTATTGAATTGTCTGTATACTGTTTCAAATAGTTATAGTTTATTTGGGTAAATTATTAACCGAAAGAAAATGTAATACAACAATTATTTTCTTACGAATCAAATTCATAAAATTCTTTTTCTATAATTTTCTCCACTCTTTAAGAATATTTCAGATCAAGTAGATATTTTTTCAATGGACGGGAGTTCCGTTTTCCATTATGCCCGTTCGTTAATTTTCTTATATGTGGGATGTAAGCAATTATTTTAATATATACAAGTATATGTAAAGGATAATTAAAAACAAAACGCTTTTCAAGCACCACAAGCCTGGCGCAATGGTTAGAGCGTCTGGTCTAGAGTGACGAAGTAGGGAGTTGATCCTTACGTCACGGGTTCGAATCCAACTGTGGGTCATGGAGACCGGTCCTTCGGATAAGGCCATATAAACCGACGGCGAGGTCCCGTGTCGCAGTAGGTGCTGGCACGAAAAAGATTCCTCAGTGCTCAATGGCCCTGAGTGTGCCAAGAGTAGGACAAAATTTGTTGCTCTCCACCGGCAAGTGGTTGCGTACGTCTCTATATGAATGAAAAATTCTCGAGAGGTATGTTAAATAACATACAATGAATGCACAATAATTAGCCGGGCTTATTGCTCAAAGAGCAATTGCCGGCTTATGTGATCCTGTTCAAGGCAGGATGTTGACCCCATAGTCGCCATTTTAAAGTTACGTGCAAAAATATAGTTCTTTCTCTCAACCGCTTTTGAGAAAATACAAACGCTAAATAAAGGAACAAAAATAAAACGAAGTTTTATCTATATAAAATAAACATTAGTAGTAATGACTCTGAAAACTTCATAAGTCAAAGAACATAGTTCATTAGCGTAAGGATTTTTGACAATCAGTGTTACCGTAGTTCTCTACACATACGAGGTAGAGCAGGAGAGGGAACCAGACTGGCCTGTTTGTTTACATTCAGCTGCGCGGTACAAGATTAATTCTGATTCTGACAAAATTGGACCGTGGTATTAGGATGGAAAAATTCACTGTCAGTGTTTTATCATTTATATTGATAGTTTTAAAATAATTTTTTCATCAGAATATAAACGTGATTCATGTAAGAAATCCATTCTACTCTGTAAATGAGCCCGGCTCCCTGTAATTCTGAGTACTTTGATTTTAAAATTTGCTTTAAAAATCACCACCGGGTCCTGTCTTTTTGAGCAACTCATGAAACCTTCCAACTTCTTCAATGAATGTAAGCTAATTTCTTGGGAGTGCATTTGGGGCGGATTCTTACTTAGGAAACATAAGAATTAAGCTATAAAATTCTTCATCTTAAGAACGACAGGACCATTTATTGTTAGATCGATCTTCCTGTATATCTATCTACATGAAAGTCAGCTCATAAACGAGTTCCTTGTTATTTAAAACGGATAGGACATTACTTCTGGAATTAACAACCGCCCGTCGTAAGATATAGATATAATTTTGTCTGATTGTGTGTACAAGATAAAAGTAAACATAATAAAAATGGTACCCACAACAAGTATTTCTGTATGTATAGTAGTCAACCGTACCCATAATACTAGAACTAATTTCAGCTTATAAAACACGAACAAATCCTACCCCACCCACCCCTTAAACCCTGTAAGTCACATTGTTTAATTATATTTTACAACAGTAATTCCTAATGCATTATTATGTTACAGCATGCAATGTTTAAAGTCAACATTTCACAAAGCATAAAACAAAGGTTTATGAGATGCATGCTTTGTTTGGTCGAATGTTGGCGGACAAGTTTCTAGGCCATTACTTTTGTTGTCTATATATAATTTGAATTATCCATGGATTACTCTGTTTTCCGCTTTAAGAAAAAGGGTCGACAAGATTCATAATCCTCCATGACATCTGATTCAACATCTGATGTTTTTATTGGCTCGTATTTGCTTGGCCCGCGATTTGTATTGTTAGTTGGACTTTAAAACATGATTACTCTTTGGTATCTCTACATTCCATAATGCTTTCAACTGAATAGAATCTGCATCTAGCTACATATAGGAAGGAATTGTATGAAGAAAGGTCTTATAGCATATATGATATATGAAGAAGTGGCCAGTGTGTATGATTAATTTTTGGTATAATGCCACAATCTTAAATTGTACTCTTCCAAGCTCCTGCAACCATAAAATACAGACGCATACTCACCTGTTTTAGTTTTCTACAATAGTCAAAATAAATATCATTTCTTAAACTACATCATATGAAAAGGGAATCATTTGTTTTCCTTACAAAACCCCTGTAGCTATACATAGTGCTAACGTATGTGTCGGTCTTCGAAATAAGTATCTGAATTTTAACTTCAATGAGCAAGCGTGCTTTGGATTCTAAGAACCCCAAAAAGCTTAAAATTTTCTCATCGTACAGTTTGTAGTCTTACTTGTATCTTGATTAGCCAATTAATTGTAAAACTGGACTCTTATGCATCAGAAATACTAGTTACTTTATATAAATTTCTGTAGTGAAGAAAATAAAGTTATACATTCAAACTATAGATCTTGTCACGCCAAATCAATTTACCCGAGATTATTTAGGATATTTGCAATCTAAATGAGGTCGCTCCCTGAACGGAAAGTCGTGGGTTCGAGTCGCGACTGACCTAATTCGTTAACAAATACTCAGCAACTGTTCCTTCATCGAACGCTAGGCACTTTGAAGTGCAGGTTGTGAGTCCTTCGGATGAGATCTAAAAATCCAGGGCCCACGTCATGGCAAATCTTGGCATGATAAAGATGCCTCACTGCCCATGAGTACCGAGTAAAGGTCTAAATTTGAAGCCCTTCACTATTATACATGATGACGCTTCCATATGAGTGAAAAATTCTCGAACAGAACTTTAAACAAAACACAGTCAATCAAGCAATCCCTTTGCATTGCAGAAGTCATCATTTAGGGAAACCAACAAGGAAACACAATTCTTAATTATTTTCAAATGTTTCTTTGGCCAGCCGATTCTCTTGCTATGTTTCCTTTACAAAAAACAAATAAAACAGTGGAAACTTCCAGCAATATCTGTGAACAATTCTGGTCTGCTGTAGCTGTTTTGTTTCAGTTGTATCTTTTGTAAGAGGAGGAGAAGAGTGTGTGTAAATTTTTTGGTATAATGCCACAATCTTTAAATTGTACTCTTCCTAGCTCCTGTAAGGGGACGACCATTTGATTCTGAGGGGGGGGGGGGGGGGCTGGCAA